TCTTTGTGTGGTCATCAGGTCTGGCCAGCACATGTGCAGCGTGCTCGCATTTGCTCTTTGTACCGACAGGGTGCAGGCACCTGTGTCAATGGTTTATCCCACAGACCTGCCTTTCCGTCACAAGACAAGGTGGCTTCTTTGATTCAGGCTGAATTTCAACAGTCGACCGTGCACCTATGATTGGTGGCCTTCAGTTGATCTTGGCTCCAGTTCCGAGAACTGCTTGTTCATGTGGAAGGCACCCGATGCCACTTGGAACGTGTTACAAAAAACGATTGAAATGTGGAAACCGTGCTGCTCGGGCTTCGAGAACACTTTGACTTACTTCATCCTGGACCTCTTCTTCTGAGCTTTTATGTGCTTTCTTTTTAGGTTGCCTTCAGACCTAGACACTCAGCCCCTTCCCCGCCACCAGTCCCAGGGGGGACTCCCTTCAGCAAGTAAAATGCCATGGCCAGCAGGGTGGAGGCCATTGCCAGCAGGGTGGAGGCCGTTGCTACTAGGTTGGAGGCCATTGCTATTAGTTTGGAGGCCATTGCTATTTGTTTGGAGGCCATTGCTATTTGTTTGGAGGCCATTGCTATCAGGTTGGAGGCCATTGCTATTAGGTTAGAGGCCATTCCTACTAGTTTGGACGCCGTTGCTATTGGGTTTGAGGCCATTGCAATTAGGTTGGAGCCAATTGCTATTAGGTTGGAGGCCGTTGCTATTAGGTTAGAGGTCGCTCCAATTAGTTTGGAGGCCATTGCTATTAGGTTAGAGGCCATTGCTATTAGTTTGGAGGCCGTTGCCATTAGGTTGGAGGCCATTGCTATTAGGTTGGAGGCCGTTGCTATTACGTTGGAGGCCCTTGTTAATAGTTTGGAGGCCGTTGCTATTAGGTTGGAGGCCATTGCTATTAGGTTGGAGGCTGTTGCTATTTGGGTTGGAGGCCATTCCTAGTAGTTTGGAGGCTATTGCCTATTGCTATTAGGTTGGAGGCCATTGCTATAGGTTGGAGGCCGTTGCTATGAGGTTGGAGGCCATTGCTATTAGTTTGGAGGCCGTTGCCATTAGGTATTAGTTTGGAGGCCATTGCTATTAGGTTGGAGGCCATTGCTATTGGCTTGGAGGCCGTTGCTATTAGGTTGGAGGCCATTGCTATTAGGTTGGTGGCGGTTGCTATTAGGTTGGAGGCCATTCCTATCAGTTTGGAGGCCGTTGCTATTAGGTTGGAGGCAATTCCTATTAGTTTGGAGGCCGTTGCTATTAGGTTGGAGGCCGTTGCTATTAGTTTGCAGGCCGTTGCCATTAGGTTGGAGGCCATTCCTATTAGTTTGGAGGCCATTGCTATTAGGTTGGAGGCCGTTGCTATTAGGTTGGAGGCCATTGCTATTTGGTTGGAGGCCATTGCTATTAGTTTGGAGGCCGTTGCTATTAGGTTGGAGGCCATTCCTATGAGGCCATTTGTATTGGTTTGGAGGCCGTTGCTATTAGGCTGGAGGCCATGCTATGAGTTTGGAGGCCATTGCTATTAGGTTGGAGGTTTGGAGGCCATTGCTATAGGTTGGAAGCCATTGCTATTAGTTTGGAGGCTGATGCTATTTAGGTTGGAGGCCATTCCCATTAGTTTGGAGGCCATCTATTAGGTTGGAGGCCGTTGCTATTAGGTTGGAAATAGATTCGGGGTTGTCTCCTAAAGATTCAAACAAGTTTGAGGCACGGCAAAGCAAAAAGACTGGGATGTGGCTTTGCAATCAGCTGGCGATACTACTTTGGCAGTTATTGTCTGATTATTTTTTGGGAAGGGACGGGGAAGCAACTACTTTTTTGCTGTACGCCGTGGTTCGAGGCCCAAAATCCAAAGAAGATTTTCTAAGTCCACAAAGTTGCACCAAAAAAACGGGCTAGCTCAATCTTCTTCTAGTGCCTTGGAAACTCTATATAGGGGTGAAGACCGTTGCAGTAAAACAGCACCCTCCACCAGTCCTGCATGCTGGTCATGACTCATACATAAAACGATAATTCAGTCGATTGCTCATAATCCAACAGGCAATTCAAGGTGAAGCATGAAGGACCTCCTTGCTGAGACTTCAACCAAATCGTGGCATTGATTGCAGTTCTACAGTTCCTCCAAAATGCCTGAAACGACGAGAAATGAGAAGATATATGATGATATGAAATCAATTTGAGCATCAAAGGTCGCAGTTGAAAGTTACACAACATGCCGAGGTCAAAGCTTAGCATACAAACGGCTCAAAGGCAACCTGGAGTAGTTTACGGCAAATACATCGCTACTAGGAGCGATCGGACGCTACTAGGGGCTCCTGGCATCGCTACTAGGAGCAAGGATGCTGCTAGGGGCTCCTGGCCCTACTATTTATTAGTAACAAGAAGCTACTAGGAGCAAAGGAACCACTTGACCAATATTGGATCTTGCGACTGACGCCACCTTCAAGCTTAGGGCCAAACCCGCAGCCAAGGCCAGCCAAAGGTGACCCACAGCGGTCCCTCTGCTACACTAGAGCTGCTCGTCACGTTTTCCCAACTTAGTCGTTCTTATTGTCACTAAGGTGGTGACATTCCGTGGGATTCGCCATCCTGGCAACGGCCCACATGCCCTTGTTCACTGCACAGCTAAAACTCTTGGGCCGTTTGCATTGAAGAATCAACCGCCACACCTGAAGAACTCTGGGGTCTGTTGGAACATCGACTGCTTTTCTTGACCTTGAGCAGATATTCACATCTACCAATTGAAAGCTGAAGACTTGCCATTTGACCTGATGGGAGCCACTTGATGGGCCTTTTGGGGGCTCTGGCAAGGTCATCTCAAGCGGATCAGCAGTGGTATACAAATAGGACCTCAAAGAGTTTACAAATGTTTGCAACGTCACAGGAAAGGGCAAGTGAGACCAAAGCAAAACTGAAGGCACTTAACACATACGTCAGGAATGGTTGTATTAAGAGTTGTGCACTTCCTACCTCTCTAGGTTCCACACCAAACCTGTGAGAGCTTGCTCTGAGGAATTCCGCCGCCCTCGTCAGAGATCCGGCAACAGCAGCCCTCAATTAATTGGCGCCAAGAAACATCTCGGATCTCAAAGTAGCTTCTTGTTACTAGTAGCAAGAATGCTCCTAGTAGCAATGCCAGGAGCCCCTAGTAGCGTCCTTGCTCCTAGTAGTAAGGCCAGGAGCCCCTAGTAGCATCCTTGCTCCTAGTAGTGATACCCTTTGCTTCTAGTAGCTTCTTGTTACTACTAGCGATTGCCTCCAACCTACTTGCGATGGCCTCCACCTAGTAGCTTCGGTCGTTACTAGAAAGATTCAGCAGTAGGACTCTGATGGCCTACTCTTATCTCGCGCGCATTCCTTGTGCTTCAAGACCGTGCATTCCATTCCACTCTGTGCTTTGCTTTCGGACATGTTGGTGAGTACAGGGTTTCTACAATACAAGAGGTTGGCCAGCTGACACAGCTACTCTTCAAAGGCTTGGCTTCAAGCGTTCTCGTCACCACTCACTGCCACTTGAACATGGGGAAGGCAAACCTGGATACTCAAAGTGCCGCCGTTCTGGTATGTCGAATCACTATGCTATGACACCAAATCTGGGAACAGGGAGCACAACGACACTGTGCAGAACGTGCTGGTGACCGCAAAAATAGCTGCTGTGTCTCAAAGACTCTGATCGTGTGAATTTGCAATGATAGTGGCCTTGTGATTGGTCGAGTGGTTTGCCTTCGGCAAGGTTTTCAGCGACAAAAGTGAGGCGAAACATCAGTATCCACTCAGCTGCAAAATGAGATGCCGGCAAGTGGAGCATGTGGTGCCACTGTTTCCGGCATATGCCACTCCACAGTGGCGCGCACCTTTACTATCTGGGATTGTCAAAGGACGCTACGCGACAGAATAACTCCCAACATGCTTGGAAGTCAATGTCAACAAGTCCAGCTGACTGCGTTCTTCAGCAGCTCGGAGGTGATGTAGAGAAAGTATTTGGGAATGAATGGGATTGCCTGGACAAGGCAGACTTGAACAAGTCCAACAGTGTCACAACTGACCAAATACACTGTTTGCCTGTGTGCCACGGTCTTGAACTTCAATTGCGGGAGCAACCCCGTACCTAAAGAGCTGGCAATTCAGCCCAGAAAACATTGCAATTGCAATCAAGAGATCAGATGGGCATTGAAGGATTTCACTTATTTGTGGGGAGTGAAGATCGTAGGTAATGGTGGCAAGCTGAGCATGAGAGAGTTTGAGGGAGCATGCTGGAGCAAACAAACACAAACCTAGTCTAGCCATCTAGCCATAAAGCCATTCCGACCTGAGCAAAGCCAGTCTCGTCACGATGGCTGCTGCGTGAGAGGCCATCCTTGCCAAGTGTGCAGAATAACGAGACAACAAAACAAGAAGCTTCAACGCCTTGGTATGTTGCAATCCGGATCAATCGAGCTCCTGCAAAGTAGGTAGAAGCCCAATGCTACAGTCCAGTAATAGTGTACAGGATGAAAATTGTGTGCTGATCGCAAAGGTGCAAGTTCAGTCCTGTAAGGATTGTCTGGAAGATCAAAGAATACCGTCGCGCCATCCTCAGAAAGCCATAAAAGAAAGTGGTCAACATTTCTCCAAACCACTCAGAAACGGACCACGGATTGACAATGCCCCGAGGACATCTAGCGCAGGAAGCTGAAATAGACATAGTGATTCAAGTTACTATGCAAACGATGTGATGTCCGTATGCCAGGCAGTGACAGGACTACCAGTATGGTCAAGCCTGGAGATAGTGAGACATCAGCATATTGGTGGAAAGCCGGAGAGTAAAGAACCTGGATATATTGATGTGAGACGCGCAAGTGAGATATTCAGCAAACCAAAAGAAACTGCAAAAATCCGAACCCTGCTCAAGGCACTCTTCCTAAGCAACGGCAACGGATGAAATACAGCTATATAGATACACCCACCACAAGGGCATGACTTGTCAAGCCAGTCGTTGATCTCCGCAACTGAGAGTTCAGAGACCTGACTGAAATGTTCTGAAGAGTGTTCTATGCCGTTCAAAAATTGCCGAAGCGGCTGGAGATGTTCCGCAGATTTGGGCCAACGCAAATTGCATCAAATTGCACAAGTTTTGTAGTAGGCTGCCACCGCATCTCTTTTCACCGCCGCATGCGCACAGCACGGACTTCCTGCTAGCTACTAGTCTTCTTCATCTGATTCTTCTTGCGTTTTCGTCAGTCCTTGCAGCATGAAGCAAACAAATGTCAACAACTTAAAAATAGCGCTACAGCGGCGACCTCATTGCTATCGATTCAATTGCGCAAATACTGTAATCATTGTTGTATAGTGGTTCATCAAAATGGAAATTGATATATGTTGAGATTGTTGAAGCTGCTGTCAACTCAACTGACTCAACTAGCACAACTGGCCACTTTGTGTTTTGGAGTATGTTGAACTGCATCTCCCTGTCCTCTTCCTCTTCTGGACTTTCCACTCCGCGACGCTCTCGCCGCTGCCTCTTTTTCTCTTGATCCTTTACGCGGGCGCTTGTAAGCATCCAAAACACACACCTGTGAAAAAGGGAAAATCAAGCCAGTGGAAGTGCAGAGCGTCCCCCCCATGTAGGAAACGGCTCCCCGTAGTCCTTCTAGGAGCTGGGAGGCAGATGGATCAAGAATTTATACCGAAAAGGTTTCAAAGGCCAACCTTCAATACACACAAAACTAACTGGTGTCCTTAGAGCAGGTTGCTGTTGCAAATGATGCACTAACACATTCACCTTGCATCTTCTGCATCACCCCACCAAAAAAACATCCTTGGCAAAGCAAAAGCACCAGCAGGCTAATGTGGTGCACATACACTTTACCCGGCCTGCCCTCCAGACCCCCTAAAGACTCACTTCGTTCGCAGAAAATAACTTGAGACTAGCCTATCGGTGGGCTTTCGTGATATATATATATATATACATATACACATGCCTGAGAAGGGGGACGAAAGCCAGCAGCCGCCAGACGAGTGTCTCTCTTTCTGGCGGGCGTCGAGGCACAAGACACATGGTCGGCAGCTTGCGAGTCAGCGGTGCCGCGGATGCGGGGGGGCGTATGTAATGGTGATGGAGGGAGCAGAGAAGCAAGCCGGGCGGCTTTGGGATAAGTTTGGTATGAAAGAAGTAGTGACAGAGAAATGCGGTACGGTGTATGTTGGTGTAGGTCATCATCACAAGGCAATGGCATGTGTTTGTCACACGCAGGAAGGTATGCATCTTATGGAAGCTGGAAGGCGACATCAATGTTAGCGACGGAGCAATACCGTCTGAGTTCGAGTGGTGGGATACCACGTGCGCGCGCGAGCACGGCATGCGTTTGAAAGAAGCAGTTATATATATGTTTGTTACATTTGGAGTCTTTGAAGTTTGCAATGCATACTGCGGCACGTCGAAAAGCGGCGTTCGTTGATTTGGAAGAGTGAACGGGCACGTCTTAGCCGGGACACGCTTGGGCTAGCAAAGGAGTGAGGATTTGTGCCTATCGATGCACATGCCTGGACTTGAATGAGTCATGTTCTGGCTCGATCCCAAGCAACGGGGCCTTTATTAAACGATCCACACACCTTCTGTATTCTTCTCTTTCTTATCAACTCTGCGCCTTTCTCACTCAGAGGCCTTGACTTTGGCGCCTGCGTATGTAGATCTTTGGGCCGTGGACCCAGGCTGACTGGATTCGGCCAGGGCTGCCAGCAAAAAGGCGACGTCATGAGTCAGTAGTATATAGAATTTATCTAATAGACATCTGCACCGGCAAGCCGGACAAACGTTCGGTGCGTCCGCGAGACGAATCCACTCGACCGAGGACATGGTGCAAGTATAGTTTTTGCTAGGGGGGCAGGACCCCAATGCGGATATGTAGTCAACCTCACAAGGCGTCCCCACCGAAACTCAATCCAAATTCATGGACTTGAACTCATGTCACTTTCGGCTCTCTATGGATTTCGCGAGTTACGGGTTGTTCTGGGAACTCGTAACCTACATGCGGCTGCGGTCTGCTCTGTACGAGTGGGTCCCTGTCTCCACTCGATTGCTCAATGCCCATTGTCCAAATAGCCTCCAAAGCCTTTCATGATGCTAATGATGCACTACTCGGCGTCCATTACATCACTCGCACCAGACCCCATTTTCACTGCTTTTCTGACCCTCGCTTTGGAGCGCTCTCCCCCACCAAGCTCTGGTTCACCCTATCAAAAGGTCCTCCTCAGCGACCACCTCCCCCCCCCCACACCCCCTTAACTCACTTCGTTCGCCCTAAAAGCTCAAGCCTAGCCTATCGGCTGGCTTTCGTAATTATATGTTATATTGCGTATATGTGTATATATATTATATATATATGTTGTGACCAAAAGACAGAATCCTGGAACTCCACCTGATCGTCCATGAGCCCTCCCGTAGGCCTCAGCAGCATAGTCGGTGGAGCTTTTCCCGGCCTATTCCATGGGCGGTCCGCCGCAGGCTGTTGCATTCTCTCCAAAGTCGGTAGACCAATCGGGCCAGCCGTTGCAGCTGAAGCCGACTTTGAGATCCCCATCATAGAAGAACCCGCTGCCTTTGAAGCCGTCATAGCCGCTTGCCCTCGTGCAGCTGCCGGACTTGGCCTCGAAGATGAACTCGCCCCACTGCCATAGCCCCTTTGTGGTGCAGGTACCGGCGGTTGTTTCACCGGTGGTTCCTTTGCTGGTGGTGACTTTCCCAAAATCCTGTCATTCGGAATGAGGCGGATGGTTTGTGTTCCCGTGTCCACCTCCTCCGGGCGTAATACCCTCAGGCCCTCACTGGTGACCAAGATGGAGGGCTTGTGACATCATACGTGCCCTCATCCATTGCTGCCTGTGTCACCTGTGGAAAGACCGCAGGCAGCCGCATTTGGATGCGGCCCCACACGCCATGGCTTGCACTGGACGCCTCCACCTCAAAGGTGGTGGAGTTAGGAGCCTCTAGGCTATTGTTTGGATCCCTTGGGTTGGTTGCTTCCGAGATGACATCCCAAGAGTTTTGCGCGCGGCCCGACGCATTGGAATTCATGGCCTCTTGTTCATTTCTTGTGTTTCTTGACTGGTCCGTTGTTGCGACCCTGTCTGGTCTGTTTGTTCCCGTGACGGTGTTCGCCGCAGGGCACACAAGCGAGGTGGAGGTTGGGAAGAGTGTTCGTGTGACTTCAATTCATGGTGAATTCCCCTGTCGGAAAATGATGAACACACTCCCCCGGACCCTGACTCCCCGCAAAAACCCCACTACTCTTCACCACGTAGGCCATGCCAATCGCCAAGGTCGCCACCAAGGCCGCTCTTGTACTTGGCAGACAGGTCGCAGCAGCACAGCTTGCCATGCATAGCGCCAGCTTTGCCACCTTGCCCACAGTCTCTGCCATCTTCGCCTTGTCCTTCACCTCCGCCACGACCTCCGCCTCGCGCGTTCCCCCTTCTGGAGCTTGAAAGTGAACGAAGCACCTGAACCAGCTCCAAACGTTCTTGTCCACGATCGCCTTGGTGAAAACGTCCGCGATGAGCCGCTTGCCGTCCAGGTGAAAGATGCGCCATGACCCTTCTTGTAGACGTTCTTTGAGAACACTTGCACGCAATCTCAAATGCCGTGTCCTCCATGGACCATCTGGGTTCTGGATGATGCTGATGGCCGCCATGTCATCACCATAGGTGACCGCCTCCGGCGTGTGGCAGCTGATCTCCACCCACAAGGCCTTGACCAAGTCCGCCATGGTGATCGCCTCGATGTAGGAGTACAACTCTGACTCTGCCGTTGACAAAGCCATACAGGTTTGCCATGCCTTGAACACTTCGACCACCTTGTGGAGCGAATGACACATCACTGTACATCTCAGGTTCATGCTTCGCTCTTTGGGAAGGTCGCCATCAGGTCCTCGATCGCCCGGTTTGCATGGTCCATAGAACAGGTAGGGGGTCCCGTTGAGGTACTCCAGAATCTGCTCCCCCAAGGCGACTGCCCATTTTGGATTCTTGGTTACCTGTCGTCCCAACATGCTCACTGCATAGGACAAATCCGGCCTGGACCTCAAAGCGATCCACAAAATCTCCCCCGCGATGGACTGAGCTTCGCAGATGTGAGCCACTGTTACATCTTGTTCAGGTTCTTCAGGAGGCATCATTTCTTTAGCCATCGGTGAAGACCTCTTCCCAGTGACCTGTCGCCTTTTGATCAAGTCCCGGAGATAGGAAGGCTGCCCCAACATGATCTGGTCCTCGAAGCGCTTCATCTCATAGCCACAGAACCTGACCCATTGTTGATGGTCCACCTCCTCAGGCACTGACGTTTGCCAATGGTTTTGAATTTCACGGATCAGGGCCTTGTGCACCTCCTCCCCACTGAGCACCAGGAGGTCGTCAACGTAGACCAGCAGTAGCCCTTGAGGTTGCAAACATCCTGCTTCATCACCCTCCATAGGTTGCGTTCACGCGTCACCTCAAGGTAGCTGTTGTTGCCAGCGGATGGAAGACAGTACTGAATCCCGGTGTACTGCCCAATGCGCTGGAGAGCTGGTGAACCCGTAAAGGGCTTTATCTATCAACCACACTTCGTCAGCCGCAACCACGCCCAGCTGAACCATGATGCGAGGAGGTTCCACAGCAACCGGTCGGGAGTTCTCAGGCTCCTGTAAGAAGGCCGATTTGACATCGAGCGAGCTGACACGCCATCCTTGATGCGCTGCTTGTCGGACTGCCGCTCTGATCAAAGTACCGTCGGCTCCCGAGGCATAAGCTCCTCCTGGACTGTTTTCTGGTGGAGGGTCTGCAGCTGGTGAAGCCATGTCTGGCATTATCAAGTGGTCGCAAGACCCACATAGTGAAGATGTTGCGTGAGGGCATCCTATGGACAGGACACCCAATACCTGCCACAGGTGTGTCGGCTTCTGCCAAAGTTGTTCGGGCTGTGGACTTGCTTGGTCATTTTGACACTGCATTAACAGCCTTTGAAGTTAGCATTGCAGTCGGCAATCACTGTCCTTCAAATTTTGGCGCTGCCAAGTACGTGATGGGGATTCGGTTGATATTGCTCATGATTTGAATCTGCAACCGGATCATGCGTGACTGTCACAGGAATTAAATTTATATATATATAATGTAAATATATACCATATATTCCCAAATGGACGAATCTTCAAGCGACGTTGTATGAGCTTTGATGCTCTCCCAAAGTCCTTTCGGATATGGCTACGCATCTTTTCGGCCATCTCCTGCACACAACAAGTTTTATCGCTCTCCAAGATTGGCAATCTTTTCAAGCAAGAAGCATTGCGCGCTACCGCACGCCTTCGCTGTCATGTTTTTGCCAAAGAAGTCGATAAACTTTCCATTCTTTCCCACAAAGTAGTGGATAATGGAATGATCAACCAAGTAATCCTGAGCATGCCAGTTTTTTACAGTAAGAAGAGCTGGCAAGAATCCATGACATTCTACCTCCGTGTATCGCAACTTCAAAGCTAGGCCCGGACCTCGTCATCTGTCTTCAACCCTTCATTGTAGTATACTCTGTACGCGCCTGAGCACAAGGCTTGCAAAAAGGTTAAATATGAACGGTTCAACCAAATTTGGCAAGAACTGAGCAAATTGATGCCATTTATGCTAGATAGCATAAGATAGCTATGTCTGCCGTGGATGGCCAGCTAAGGTCAGCACGACTCACCTGAGTAGAAGCCAACTGAGGACATCTCGATTAACAAACACACTCGTGACATCTCTCGACTCGGTGACACATGGCTGGCCTTCTTGACCTGCTCGGGCGTCCCAGTGAGCCCGACAATGCGCGGATGAAAATCCTGAAGCATTGGTGCAAACTTTGAGTCTTTCTTTGGGCCGTAGGGGGTACTACGTAAGATTACGTAAGTGTAAGCTAACAAGTAACACTAAGCTCAATAGGCGTGGGGTTTCTTCGAGGAAGCTCTCACTCTCTGGGCCTTAAAGAAGCCTGAGCCTTAATGAGTTGGTTCCTCTATAGACGTTTTCGGAAACTAGTAGCGTCCTTGTTCCTAGTAGCGATGCCCTTTGCTCCTAGTAACTAGTAGCTTCTTGTTCCTAGACGTTTTCGGAAACCGGTCTCTTCGAACAAGTTGAAACCCAAGCATCTGCAGAGCAAATGTTGCATAGCAATGCATGTCTTCCACATCAGCCAAGTTGCTTTGCAATAATCATCAACCAAAGACGGTTTGTCCCTCTTGGGATCCACACCTAATGGTAGCTACTGAGGAAAGGCGAAAGGTTTGTGATTGTTACGACTGAGTTTAGGACTAATGAACATTGGAGTGGCAATTGGGCCAAACCTTGGCGCAAGCGTGATCAAGTACTCCTCACTCAGTACCAGTTTGTGCGGAAACCCAAGTGTCCAAATACAATGACCATCAACACTCCCTGAAACTCTCCCCGACAAATGCAAACAGCTGCAAACCTTACCTGCGCTACATGTGGCAGGCTGTAGCCTGCGCACTGTCAGAGTCCAAAAGGTTTGGATTGGATGGGCTGCTGCACGCAGTGACAAAAATGCACTCTTGGCTTGACAACAACTACAGGTTCGCCTTCCGTTTTTTTTTCCTCGCCCAGCAGGCCAATCGAACCGTCCAGGTATGGCAAGTGTGACCAAACAAAAAAAGACATGTTTCAGGACCTGGGGTCCTTCTTCTGTGATGTGAAAACAGCTGACAAATCCAGTCATGTGGCCAACACGATTGAAGAGACGGGGGGTCAGCTGCGCACGCAAATTGGGATCACCTGTTCATTGACGCGAATCAGCTGCTTGCGCAGGCACAAGTTGGATAAGGCAGGTGGGTGGGTTGGATGAAGACCTTTCTGTTGAGGCGCTGCAGACAGAAATTGGGGTGCAATGATGCGCAGCATCCTGAGGGTGCCAACGCGCGTCTCGGCCTTGCATCCTAATTACGCAAGTTTGGCTCATTTTGTCAACGGCCCATTTAGCCATTCCGTTACGGACCAACTGCTCGTGTACCACCGAGTCCTTGTCCTTGTCCACAAGCCCGAAACCCGTTGGCCCGTTGTACCAAATTGTTAACTGGGCAACTATGCTCTCAATCTACGTACACCCCTGGTGGAAACCCTGAGCTAAAGGAACCTTCACTATTCCGGTCGCTAGAAATGGGGACTCACCAAAAGAACAAAACACAAAATGTCTTGCAGGGCGCGTAGAACAGTTGGGTCTTTGACACACAACTCAGTGAGCCCCGCACATATACATCTATAGATTGATCGAGGGGCGGTCCGAGCTTAGAGTGTGTGGTAGTGCATTCACTAGTTCACGCACACCCGGCACATATTACCATGGTACAGTAATATGATTTAATGTGACAAAGGTCAAACGATCTAAGCGGACCAGTCCAATGCATTTCCGCAATTCTGCATAGGAGATGCCTTGAGGATCCTTGAGGCTAGAAAAAAAATCTAAAAAAACAACAACGATGACTTGCTGTGAGTTGCTTCCTTTTCTCTTCTGCTTGCTGCCCTATGCCCGGGGCTCTTCGTCTAGCAACTCAATCGCCCGACTCTGCTTCTCCATTTCCTGGCAGCTCTGTTTTCTGCACAGACTGCTTCTGCAACTTTCTCAAGCCTGAGGGCAAATATCTGGACAAAATGTGAAGCCAAAGTAGATCAATAAGTACCTGTCTTCGGCGGGAGTGGACCGCATGACTGTTGGCGCTCAGTCGCACTGACCCAAGAAGTCCTTTTCTGTCACGGAATTGCCCTTCCTGAAAGAATCTGAAAGGCACGTGCATGAAAGCACTAGGTTGGAGGCCATCGCTAGTAGGTGGAGGCCATCGCTATTAGGTTGGAGGCCTTCGCTATTAGAAACCATGTGAGTGCAAACCACTCGGACCTTTTTCTTGAGCCAAACATTGCCAAGTTAATGGCTTGTGTCTTGAGGGGGGCCATCAAGAGTGCTTGGTACACTTCTTGTTTTTGCGACCTTATGACTCGCACTCCCCCCGACCTGCAAGGTCGCTCCTCGCGGTCAAAAAACTCACATGTCCCTAGGCCCTCTTCGCACCAGGAACAGCGAGTAACCTATCCAGCCTCCTGGCCCCGAGATTTCGCTTCGGCGCCAGTCACTGTCGATCAAAACCCTGCGGTTCCATCCTCGCCCTTTCCAAGCGAAGGTGATCCGCATGAACTCCAAATTGGTGATCTCCTCTGGGCAGCTACGGTGTTCCGGATGGAACCTTTGCACTCTGGCGCTGCCATGGTACCGGATGAGCCATCGAACGCCATCCATGTCGATGTAGTCCCATTTGTCGCTTTTGTGGACGGGCTTGTAGAACAAGGCTTCCTCCTCGATGACGTCCTGCACGGCATCCAGCACCTGTGGTGATCACAGCCCGCGCGCGCTTTGCTCCGGTTCCTCCCTTTCGAACACACACCATCTTCCCAGGCACCAACTCCGTGTCCGGAGATAGAGACGCTCGAGGAACTGGTCGAACGGCAGATGTTTGTCGGACCATACTGAAAGGACGGCTTCCACTCTTCCGGATGGGCGCGCACCTCGTTCAACGGCACCGTCACGGTTTGGAGCACCGCTTCTCCAGCTTGTACACTGGCCAGTTGCACCCTCTCACGTTGTTCCCTTCTTCTTGCCAGCCTCAGCTCCATCAAGCGGACCTCAATCTCGTTTCTCCAGCCCACGAAGCGCTCCACAAGGTTCCCCTGAACCCTGCCCTGCTCTTCGTTCTCCGGCACGTAGTCCAACCATTGTTGTAGTCGAACTTCATGTTGGCGTTCCCACACCTGCTGCACCTTGTCCAACTTATACCCGTTCGCGAAGTCCTCCCCCGTGCCCAGCGTTCTCATAGCCCTGACACCTGTTGCGGAAGTCGCCGTCGACGATATAGGGAAGTCCAGTGGTTAGTCCTGCCATATATGTCACTCTTGTCCACGGGCTGAGGATCCAACGACGCAGCTGCATCACCACCTGACGTAGCCTTGCACGACGTTGACAAAAGCGAAGAATCCCCCCCCGTTCTATAGGAGACAAAGCCCGTGGGGGACCAGGTACTTGTGGTTCACTTGTAGGAGGTTGTTTGCCTACCACCCTATGCGTTGGCCTGCCAGGTTGTGGTTCCTCCTCCAATTGAAGTGCAACATCAGGACCTTCATCAGGAAGTGGTCGTAGTTCCTATGTTTGGTTGAACTGCCTCCCTGACATGCACAACCTTTCCATCGGTGAGCTCAACCACCCACCCTTCACTCATCAACGCCATTTCTTCATCTTCACATAGACCGTGGCATAGAAGGGGATCATCGGCAAAATAGGAACTCCCAAAGCTTCCAGCTGTTGTCGCCTTCTCTCCTCCGTGGCATACCTCATAGCCATAGGCCAAGCTTCTCGTCCACAACCTGCCTCCGCCAGCTTCACCCGGGTCTTCCTCTTCAATTGGTTCACCTCGGACTCTATGTGGCCGTTTGAGGCCATGTCATCACCCGCCGTGAACGTCTGCAAGATGCCCATAGTTGCGCACCACTTGCGCATTTGTCGACTCAACAGCTCTTTGGCGCGGTCGGAATGAAGCCTGTTTGTAGCTATACCCATAGCCCGGAACTTGATCAGGGTCCTCTGCACGGCCTCGATCACCATCTCCTGAGCGCGAGATTCCAAAGGCTCCATGTGCACCACATGACGAACTGGGAGCCTTTTTTGGCTGGCTTCCAGCTCCGCCGCGAACGCTGCCTCGTCGTAGTCCATGTCCGGGTTACCCGGGTTCAAGATGTCCTGCTCCTCCTCCTCCTGCGCCTCTTCGTCAAGTTCGGCCGAGCGCCTTCGGTGGCCCCTGTGAGTCCGGCTGGACACCCCCCCCATTTGGCTGCTCCTCATCTTCCTGGCGTTCTCCTTGTTCACCTTGGTCATGAAGTCCATCCACATCCTTCACGGCCTTAATCTCCTGGGTGTAGTCGGGAACCAACGCCACTGCCATGAGGGCATATTTGACTGGTCTTTTGGTGACCAGATCCACTGTGTTGGTCAACGGTCCCGCAATGTCCACTGACCCTGACCATGCGGATGACATTCTGTCTTCCATAGATCTTCTGCGATGGGGTTTTTGCGATCCCATCTGTTCAATGCACAGACGACAGTCTCTGCGAAACGGCCGATAGCCCAGAGCAAAGTGTTTTTTCCAACTTTCAATCTCCTTGGCTTTCATCGCGGCCACCTTGAGTTTCACCTCCACGAAGTTTTCCAAGTAGATCATCCCCACCCCTAAGGGGGGGGGACCTGTCTAAATGTAAGCTACATTTTTTGCAACTTTGGGCTTAAAAAATGAGTTACATTTTCTTAGGGACACCTTAAAAAATGTAAGTTACATTTTTTGAATAAATGTAAGCTACATTTTTGGAGGTTCCGTTTTCTTGACGCCTTTCCGTGTTTTACCTTTTTCCTCTAGACCTTCTTCCTTTTCTTCCTGCTATTTTTAA